TACGAGCCATTCACTGTACAGGAAATACTACACTGTGAACAACTAACCGATCTCAGCCGCGCTTCAGCGTCTATTTATAGTGCAGGGGGCAGGTGCTTCGGATTCTAGAGAGCATTTGATTGGTCAGAAGATTTGATGAGAAGATGAAGTACGATGTGACTTCAAAATTAGTTGAGCCGTTTTGGCGGAAGTGACGAACTGCAAGCTTTGAATGCTTATATCTTCTAAATGCGAATTTTGTCACTGTTTTGGAGCACACTGCCTTATAGATAATCTTAAGACTAACATATTGATACTAACACCCCAAAAAAAACTTTAATTTTGATTTCATGGGGACTTTAAATTAAATTTTGCATTTATTAAAATCATCACAACAAACACTACAAATAAAAAAAAAAAGAACACTTTTTGTCTGGAAAGTGATTTTTAAATTACTATTAGCATTATTTAAATTCAGTACAACTACAAACACACAAAAAAAAAAACGGTCTTGAAAATTATATTGTATTACAATTAGCATTAATTACGTTCAAATATATGATGTACAATTATAAATGCACTCAAGTTGTTTGTGTTCTAAAATAAGGGTTTATTCTTATTCTATGGTCAAATGTGGAAGGTGTGATTATGAAAATAAATGTCATAACGTTAAATCTCTTATCGGTCCTAAAATAGGTTTCTTTATGAAAATTATTTTTGGGCTGAAATATGACCTGGATATTTCTCTGACAGATTGAGAAACCCATCTAAGAACAGATGTAAATTGTTGTACAGCAGATTTCGTACTCCACAGCTGGGCTGCAGACGGCCAGTGCTTCCAACTTACCCCTCTCACATCAAAACACATTTTTTAAGCTTGATGCATTGTGTCGTCTTTTCTTCTTTACTGAGTTTTCTCAGCCGGTATTGCCTGATTTCCCGTACCAGAGTATAAAAGGCATCTTCCACTCTCTGCAGTGCAAAACACAACTCCCTTCAGTGTCAAGGAACACACAGCCTTCTCATTACAGAGAAGCGGAAACAGTCTGAATTGGATTTCGGGAACCGAGTGGCACTATAAAGTTTTCCACATAGTGCTGGCACAATTAATATTAGCATCGTCTTTTGATTATTTCTGGGAATTTGGAAGGAATTTGGCATAATGAAGTTTTCACATCAACTTTCCACAAAAAAAAATAAAAAAAGCCAGGCTATTCCATGGGATGTAATTTTTCGCAGCATCTTCATACTTGGAAAACATTTTGGAAGAGTTTCTCTAAAAAGAATTAGCAATGTCCCTGAACATACACACACACACACACACACACACAAGTTTTAATAAACAAAGATAAGAAAATTAGAAAGTGAATCTGCTATTAGAGCAATACACACAGAACCATTTCGGCCTGCAGCCAGAGGGAATTGTGGGTATTGAAGACGGCACTATGATGTCGGCGAGTAGCATGTGAGGCTCAAAAAAACGAGAGAAAATTAATTCAGGAGCTTTTATTACACCCCAGCACCACAAGGAGTTGTGATTTGAGCACTGCAGAGGGAGGTAGAGTGTCTGCCCTGATATTTAATCAGCAGTTTAATAACCCCAATTGATTAATAGTGATTAAACCCCTGATCAATCAATCCATCCAAATAGCATTCTTTGCCATTAAAAGATTAATTTATGAAATCAAACACAGACAAATTATAATGAATACACATGAGAGACCAGGCACAAACCCAGAGGCAGATCACTTGTGTTGTGTGATATGACCTGATTGATTATTCATAAAGCCCGCCAGAATTAACTCCTGCATAAACCCAGTGTAGTGTAAAGCAACAGTGTGCAATGACCAGCTTTCCTACAATTTTACACATTTCAACTGCCTTCAGATGGTGTGTGAAAATTAAAGCAACAGTGTGCAATGACCAGCTTTCCTACAATTTTACACATTTCAACTGCCTTCAGATGGTGTGTGAATGTTACAAAAACCATGTCTAGGCCACAGTTACCTCCTAAAAATAATACAATAAAATACCTGTATTTATGCAATAAGACTTACTTATATTGTGACTTTTTTTTTAAATGCAAAAAAATTAAAATAGCAATTAGGGGTGTAACAAACTAGACGATACTGATCTCACGAAACAATACTTTCACAATACTTTAAATAAAGCCAAAATAGTGTTACAATTTTACCTTTTTATTATTACTTCTAAAGACATATTATAAACAGTTAACAAAATGTACTGTTCATTAAAATGTTACATGTTGGCATTACATCAGGGGTGGACTTGAATAGACTTGGACTCAGTCCTGGTCTCCAATGCACAGGGCAATGGTGAGACCAGAACAAAAATATTCATGATTCTGCTTAGGTAAAAATGCAGAATTATGTTTGACGATTTCTTGCTTTCTGTTCCAGACTACATACATTTAAAGAGTTCAAATACTATTAAATGACTTTTTAAACCGTTTAACTGATTGTATTAATCGGTCAAAATTCTTACCGTTGGTTAACCCGGTTAGACAGTTAAAATGAACATCCCCCACCCCTTAGTGATAAATATTTTTTAAACAGCACAAAATTAAAAATACACACACACATATACATTATATGTATGTATGTATGTATGTATGTATGTATGTATGTGTGTATTTTAGTTTTTTAAACATTGTAATAAACTAAACCGATTAATAACAATTTCTATAATAATAAATAATAATTTTCTACTATTTCCTTTGATTTCAGTAAAATGTGACCAGACATGTTCTTGAAATGCTTTACAAGACTCACCTTAAATGGTTGTATTCTGTATTCTGGTTATTTTCAGCTTTTATTATAGATTTCAAACCATGTTTAACCCAATAATGCATTAACATGACATTAAAGACAACATGAAATGGCAGTCACAACTCATTTAACTTCCATAATAATGCATTTCTAAGCAAAATAATATTGTGAAAAAAATCAAATCAATCAAATGTAGGTTGGGATAATTTTATCCATCGGAATCTGACTGAATCCTACGCTGCTAGGATATTATAGACTCATTTTAATTGTGGCCTTAGCTGCGTCAGCATAAAAGTGGTTTCAGAGGTGGATAAAAGTTTATGGTAAACAAATATCATTTTTTAATAATGACAAGCAGTGCACAAGTACCAAGTTTTTTATTTATAAAAAACAGTTGATTTTGATTTCATGTTGTCTTTAAACCAGTTTTAAACCAGTCAAAATAAAGTCTTTCAATGTGAAAACTTTTATTTTCATCAATTTGTCAGACACACTTGTATTCAATGCACGACCGCCCATGTTTTCCATACCTGTCTAGTCTTTGCTGAGGTCTCTATAAATGGGATGCCGTAGCTACGTGCTAAATCCTGAGCCTGCTTGGTGTCCACACTGCGGGATGGAAGATCACACTTATTCCCCACCAGGACCATGGGGACGTCCTCAGAGTCCTTTACTCGTTTTATCTGCTCTCTGCCAAAGCACACAGAACATTGCACATCAAAAAGGAATTTGACTTTGTGAGGCGTTTTAACCCTTTACAGACCTGATTCTGCAGGTTATGTGACTGCACACCGTTCGGTTTCTATCAAACCCTCACCTGTAGTGGTGAATGTCCTCAAAGGACTTGGTGTTATTGATGGCGAAGACACAAAGGAAGCCCTCTCCTGTCCTCATGTACTGATCCCTCATGGCGCTGTACTCCTCCTGACCTGCAGTGTCCAAGATGTCCAGCAGACACGTCTCCCCGTCAATCACCACCTGCTTTCTGTAGGAGTCCTGCACAAGTGAAATGATCTTTTGAGCATGTTGAGCAGTATAACAATCCCAAACTATACTGGTTCTGTAATATCAATGCATGACAATAATATCAAGCCTAAAATATCTCAAAAATGATATTAAAAACCTGACATTTGTAAAATGACAAATGGTACTTGTAGGCAAAAATTGTGTTTGAGTTTTACAGTGCTCATCTAGGTGTAGATTAAGTCTAGCAAAATGGGTGTACAGGTCAACATGAAATTAAAATTAGAAAGATTTTCTTCAGCATTTTCAATGCATGCTCTAGGACTTAATTCATCAGCGCACATTATTCCAAAGAAAATTTGCCTCTGTAATCTTGCATCAAAACTACAAAACAAACATCTAAAGAACAACTATAAAACATCTAAAAACTACAAAATCATCCCAAAACATCTACAAAACAAACATGAAAAAACAACTATAACACATCTAAAAACTACAAACTCATCCCAAAACATCTACAAAACAAACATCTAAAGAACAACTACAAAACACCTAAAAACTACAAAATCATCCCAAAACATCTACAAAACAAACATCTAAAGAACAACTAAAACATCTTAAAACTACAAACTCATCCCAAAACATCTACAAAACAAACATTAAAAAAACAAACATCTAAAGAACAACTATAAAACATCTAAAAACTACAAACTCATCCCAAAACATCTACAAAACAAACATCTAAAAAACAACTACAAAACATCTAAAAAAAAACTACAAAATCATCCCAAAACATCTACAAAACAAACATCTAAAAAAACCTACAAAATCATCCCAAAATATCTACAAAACAAACATCTAAAGAACAACTATAAAACATCTAAAAACTACAAACTCATCCCAAAACATCTACAAAACAAACATCTAAAAAAACCTACAAAATCATCCCAAAACATCTACAAAACAAACATCTAAAAAAACCTACAAAATCATCCCAAAACATCTACAAAACAAACATCTAAAAAAACCTACAAAATCATCCCAAAACAAACATCTAAAGAACAACTATAAAACATCTAAAAACTACAAACTCATCCCAAAACATCTACAAAACAAACATGAAAAAACAACTAAAACATCTAAAAACTACAAACTCATCCCAAAACATCTACAAAACAAACATGAAAAAACAACTAAAACATCTAAAAACTACAAACTCATCCCAAAACATCTACAAAACAAACATGAAAAAACAACTAAAACATCTAAAAACTACAAACTCATCCCAAAACATCTACAAAAACAAACATCTAAAGAACAACTATAAAACATCTAAAAAAAACCTACAAAATCATCCCAAAACATCTACAAAACAAACATTAAAGAACAACTATAAAACATCTAAAAACTACAAACTCATCCCAAAACATCTACAAAACAAACATCTAAAGAACAACTATAAAACATCTAAAAACTACAAACTCATCCCAAAACATCTACAAAACAAACATCTAAAGAACAACTATAAAACATCTAAAAACTACAAACTCATCCCAAAACATCTACAAAACAAACATCTAAAGAACAACTATAAAACATCTAAAAACTACAAACTCATCCCAAAACATCTACAAAACAAACATCTAAAGAACAACTATAAAACATCTAAAAACTACAAACTCATCCCAAAACATCTACAAAACAAACATCTAAAGAACAACTATAAAACATCTAAAAACTACAAACTCATCCCAAAACATCTACAAAACAAACATCTAAAGAACAACTATAAAACATCTAAAAACTACAAACTCATCCCAAAACATCTACAAAACAAACATCTAAAGAACAACTAAAACATCTAAAAACTATAAACTCATCCCAAAACATCTACAAAACAAACATTAAAAAATACAAAAACTGCAAACAAGCATAAAAAACAACACGCATCTAAAATACAAAACAAAACTACAAAAACATCTAAAAATAACTTCAAAACAACTACAACACATCTAAAAAGCATCTAAAAAACAATTACAAAACTACAGACCAAACAACTACACTTTTTAGCCAATCAATACAAATAAAATAGGTTGTGAATGCTGTTCGATGTTGACTTCGAAGGTTTTTCTTAGTTTATTTATTTTAAACAAGAAAAGCACCAAAAAAAAAAAAAGCGAACAAACACACAAAAAACTTATTAGGAATTATGTACATTTGTAATCTAAACATAGAAAGGTGACAAGCCAGAAAAGTGAAAGGTAAGAGACACAGTGGCCTTCAATCTGGAATCCACCTTCTTTCAAACCAGAATAACCGGATCGCACTGTTGAATCTTTAACATTACATTTTTTTTTGCATAATCACATGTGGGTGAGTTTCACAGCTTTGTGTGGCAGTAGAAAGTGAGTGTCCTGACGGCGCTAGAGACAGAGGTACACATGCCTCACCTCTATGGTTGGGTCGTATTCATCCACAAAGTGGTTCTGGATGAGTTGGATGGTGAGAGCGCTCTTGCCCACGCCTCCAGCGCCCACCACCACCAGCTTATATTCAGCCATTC